TCCAGTTCAGATCTTCTTTTTAGATCTGGAAAACAGCACAATGCCTTCAAACCACAAATGTGTTTCAAAATAAAACATTTCACAGTCACATCGTCTTCAGGTGAATATGTTAAAAACAAACTACACTACATGCATATATTTAGCAATAAGCAGGTTGTATGGGCAGTCAGACCTTCAAATTGGTGGTTCAAATGGTTGTTTAATTGGTGTTTTTTAATCACCTTGTAACTACAGGTGATGTGCCATGATGTGAAATAATAAATAAAAAAGAAATAAAATTAAATGCAATTTGTAGTACACTGCTTATCTGAGAGTGTGGTGGTTTTTATTTTGAAAGAAGACAGAAATTATTATTAAAATGGCACTCAAAATCTTTTTAATAATATGTTCAGAAAAAAAGGATGTTTACTTAATTTTTGTATAGAAGCTAGCTATGCATTGATTTATTAGTTCACTTTCTTTAATCTTCTGAAGGTGAATACTGAGTGCAGGAAGTCTGCTGTTGTCGTGTGTGTCACCCGGAGAGGGATGAACCGCTTTGATTGTATGACATGAAAGTAAAGGCGTCATTAAAATTCATGAGAACATTCATGTATTATGTCACGGTGCATGTCACGGCCATTGCGCTTCGCTCTGTACACCATTACATCATGCAATATGGTCCCATATCATAACAGGTTTTTACATGTTACGTCACACTAGGCACTGATTGATGCATGCAGTAGTTGCCTGTTCAAGCCAATAAATACTGTATGTGAACTGGCTGGCAACACGAACAACACTGTGTTTAACTGCTTTTCTATAGAGCTTTTATGTGTCTATAAATAGAAAGTGACAGACAAAGGCAGGTTTGGACTAAATGACAGATAAAGTCAGACTCACTGGCAAACAAAGAGGGTTACAAATGACTCTAGACAGGTGGGTTACAGACACCGCAGGGCCTATGAATCATAAAGGATACTGTCAGTGGTGGCAACTGTAGTAGCAGCAGCCATACGCACTCTCATCTTTCAGTCCTTCCTTTAATTTAATTGCTGGTGACAAGGGGAATAACTGGCTCCTGACCCGGGAGAGTCTGGTGTGTGCGGCAGCCTGCAGGCGGCCGTGCGCTGTGTCCCCCCCCCGTACCTGTACTAGAAAGCAATGATGAGCAGTAATTAGCTCGTGGACCCCAGAGTGTCTGTGCACTGAGCTCGTTGTTCCTTGCCTATGGGGCAGGCGTCCAGTGTTTATGCTAATGTGGTGATTACTCAGCCGTAGTGTAGCGTGAAGTACAGATTTTGTGTTACATAGTGGCAACATCTCACTCACTCCTTTACAGAGACAGAATGGAGAACAACAGCTGAGCGGACTAGAGAGAGAGAGGGAATGAAAGAGGGAAAAACGCTGCTGTGATGTGAATTCATTTCAGTCCTTAAATTATATAATAACATGATAATATATGTCCTTGTTTATACTTTAAGATAGGAGTTTTCAAAGTGCTGTGGGCTTCCTCTCAGAAAAAGCTTGGAAGATTGAATGATGAATGAATTATGTTATTTGATTCCCAAATTCTCTTAATTGATAGACTTTCTGCAAGTGTCACTCTGCCTGCTATGTTCTGATTATGATAAATTAAGGGATCTTACTTATTTCAAGCATTTTTACCTCATAAAAAATGAAAAAGCATAAACATTGATTTAAATTATAATGTTTTGAACTATTTTTTAACTTTGACTAGAAATATCTGGTGGGCCAAATTGAACCTTATGGCCAACTTTGGGCAGCCATACCATAGACACTCAACAAATGAGCCAAGATAGCCCAATATTGCTATTTGACAGAACTTCAGACTACACTAAGTACATACAATAAGCACTCTGGGCGAGTGGGAAAACAATCAAATTCCCTAAAACTATTGTATCTCTGAACTCTCTTTAACCAAATCACACACGTTTAGTCTGTTAGTGCAATCTCCATTTGATAACTGATCTAATATTTGTTCACTTCCATTCACTGAGCCTCCTCCTGCCTCCCACTTTGAAAACCTCTGCTCTAAAAGAGATGTTTAGCATAAGAACAGTAGGTTCAGTTCACCTGAGAGAAATGAAAAGAAAAAGGGCCGGGTTGATTTAGCATCCAACCAGTGTGAGTAGCACTGCTAAGGTTAGCTTGTACTTGATGCATACTACAAGTGATTCCTCTAAAGCCTCATTCAGACTATGTCTGAAAAAGTAGGCTGTTATCCTGAGCATGCTTTGTTCTGTGCAGGATTATTGGAGGGATTGGGGGAGTCTGTATCCCCAGTGTCTCACGTATCAATTAATTGCAATAGCATTAGTGGCCATGTACAAGTTTTATAATCTCTAATTATTATTGTTCTGATTACCAGGTGGAATTACTTTTTCAAAGACCTACCTGCTATAATATGAAGGTTAACTAAAGTTAGAGAATCAGTTTCTAACGAACCCGGTACAGTAGCTGAATCTGAAGGCTGATATTTTGCAAAGCAAATGTTAAGTATTAGTTTGTTTTGTCTCAATAGGATGATGATATGTTATTGTATATAAGTATACTCAGAAACACACCTTAATAATTTATCCCCCATCTTTCAAGCAGTCAACACTCACAATACTCACAAAGGCCAGAGTAGCTGGGATAAAAGTCATTAAAAAATGTACTTTTGCATACATTATTGTTGGACAGTCACAACAAATCGTATTGTGAATGTTACTGCAGTAAGCGACCAATACTGTTTGAATAAATTAGAGGGATCGCTAATGGCTGCGTTCACAGGGGAACAGTGCTGCACCAACACTGCCATTTTCTGACTGTTTGTTATTTTGATGAAATCAAACATGAGCAGCCACTCCGCTGTATGTAACCCACAGATCCGCTATAACATGGTGCAGTTGTAGCAAATTGGGCCTGAAGCCAGATCTCCCACATGGGAGCACAAACAGCTCCAGTACCGGTCAGCCAAAGGTGATGTCTTCAGTGCCAAGATGCCCTGGTAACAAATGCATAGAGTTAGCCATCTTTGATGATTGATGGATGTATAGTACAAGTCCATTAGCCAGGAATCCACTCCCAGGGCCCTACTCAGGTGTGCAAAGTGTGTGAACTTTTCATTTCACGCTCAGAGGCAGGTGACATTATGCTGATGCGTTTGCTGTGCTGCTGTGTTTGCAGGATGTTGGCAAAGTCTAATCTTACAATATTGTTGGATATCCCAACATCAATATGTAGGTATATACAAGGGTACAATATGTCATTTAAATAGGTACCTGCTCAACCCTGCAATGTATACTAGGAATATAAGAGCTATATGATATAGATATATGGTATAATATGAAAGAACAAAGGTCAGTAGCAAGGAACCTTATTTGTACATCTTTTCAGCATGGTGGCCATGGACTGAGATCTGAGAGTTGTGTGCTGGGTTTGCGGTGTGATCATCACTGATGATATCTTGCTGTATGTGCTGTATGTAATGCTGGAGCTCGGTGAGCACACTGGTGCTGTAATAACTCGTTCTCCAGCCGTCTCTGTGCATCCACTGTTGCTTCTGTTTATGTTTGCACATTTTCCTCAGCTACTCGGTCATAATCTTGCTGTCTCTTTGGTTCTCTCTCTCTCTGCCTTGAATAAGTGGGTGGGCGTTTTTACTGCTCCTCTAAGCCAGTAGCCACTGACTTGTAGCTAATAAGGATGAAGAGTGAGGGAGTGGGTGAGTTAGGAAGGAGATGACTTCACTGATAGTGATGGTATGAGACTGATCTCCAGCCTGAGGCAGACTGGTACGGAAAAGCGGGGTGGGATCAAGCCACCCAGTGTTAGACACATACACACATACAGTACACATATAACCAGTAACTTTATAATCTGATTTTAAGGACAAGCCAAGAAATGTCCTCTTAAACCAAAATATTTTTATAAGGCCTACGTATCTGCAATAAACCAAGGTCTGTATTTCACAGCTGTTTTTTTTCTGGCCACTTATCTTTTTATTGAGTTTTCGGCGGACATGGCAAAGTCTGTACATCAAATACAGGACAAAGCACGGTGCCGGTGAATAAAACAGAAACGACTTAAAGGTCCAGTGTGTAGCATTTAGGAGGATATATTGGCAGTAATGGACAGTGTTGGGCAGTAACTCATTACTAGTAATAATATTACAGTCCTCTAAAAACTAATAAGTTGTAATTGTCGAGGAAACTAGTTTGGAAGATGGAAATGTTAACATTCAGCAGCTGGAAAATATTCCATTACTTTGATTTTAGCAAACAAAACTTTAATCGTCAAGTCTGAATTCTGGGAAAAAAAGGATACAATTACCAATTTTGTAGAGAAGTAGCAGAAAAGTAATATAGCTGGTAATGTAATTAATCACTGTTGGCTGGGAGTAATAAGTAATTATTTTGCTTTTTAAAAGACTAGTGAGTAATATTTAAAAAATTTTGAGTAACTAGCCCAGCACTTCTAATGGAATATAATATTCAGCAATATAATGAGGCTGATTTCCTGTTGACATCCCAGTGGTGGAGTATTGTGCCTGTGCCTCTGTGTTTCTAATCGTATTTCTGAAAATAAAAACACCATCTTTCTGAACCTTCCCTCCCAGCTGGTTCGTCTTCTTTAATCTGTCAGCCTTTGATCCTGTATGGAGAGGAATACAACCAGTCATGTGACACAGCAACACACACACACGTGCACACACCTGGGTATCTATAACCTCCCACTCCCATTCATTTGCTCAGTCTCTGTGGTTTTAAGAAACAGGCTCTTATTATGTCCTGCATCTATTTGCACTGTTTTGCATTTAAATGTGTTTAGCTCTGAATAGGACATATCAAATTACACATGGTTGGTTTATTATTGGATTTTGCCCCTTGGATGTCAATGTTAATCTGTATCACATACAGAAAGTTGTCACCCTGGGGCTGTTTCACCAATACTGGCACTCTTTATCTGTCCTGGTAACATGATATGTCCATCTTCTGTGTCCTGTTGTACTCCAGGGCTCAGCTGATTCTTACACAAGCCGACCATCTGACTCAGATGTGTCCCTGGAGGAGGAGAAGGAGGGCGGCCGGCAGGAGAGGGAGCAGCAGGCCACTGTCCAGCTCGAGAGGGCAAAGGTCAGCTTCACTGGGACCTATTTACAGGACAATAGAGACACACACTGCACTGTATCACACAAAAGACACATGATTCAGTTTCACTGACTGCACTGTACTTCTGGTCTGCATTAATGGTTGTCTAAAGGTTGTCATATGGTCTAAATATAGTCCCTGATACACCATTTACACTGATAGATTTGTTATTCCTCATGATACTGGGTTAAACTTAAACAATATGATGTGATAAAAAATATTTGTTTGTTGAAAAATACAATGAGTTCAGCAGCTGGGGGAAAATAATTTCTCTTAAACAGAACTTTTGGTTTTGGTCTTTCCCCCCAGAATCAAGATTTCAACATAGCTGACAGGAGCTCACACAGAACTAACACAAACCTCACATCACATGCAGTAACCACCGCAAGATAAAAATAATCAATTGATCCATCACATGGATGAAGATTCAAAAGAATGAAAAGTAAAGATTAAGAAAAATATGTAAGATAGATGTGTTTGAAGGAGCCATCTTTATAGATTATCAAGGCTTTCTGGCCTTGGAGTGAGATCTTCTGCTCCGGTGTGCTGTTGATGTAGTGTGATCACTGCTGCTGACTCGCAGCCACCTTTAGGTCTGAAATAGCATCTCGTCATCAGCACCCATCCCTTTATTGCAGGCTTGTAATGCTGAGGCTAAACGAGCACATCAGCTGAGGGGAAACTCTCCAGCCATGTCTCTGTATATTCACTGTTGCTTCTGTTTATGTATTAAACAGTTTCTTCATTTATTTTCCACAAACAGCATCATGATATAAAATTTTGTATTCTGTGATATCCCTATTAAACATTCATGTTGCCACTTTATTGCCATGATCACTCTTTCTTCATGGCTATCTTACAGACTAAAGCAGTGGCATTTGCTGTGAGGACCAATGTCAGCTACTGTGGTGCTCTGGATGAGGACGTTCCTGTGGCAGGCACCGCCATCTCCTTTGACGCTAAGGACTTCCTCCACATCAAGGAGGTACAGTTCAGGCACTATACAGTAATGCTAAACCTGTGGCACTGTATGGATTAGTAGCTGATCTGAAGCTTTTGATCATATCACATTGTTTTCATCGGCTGTTGGAGTTTGCCCAGTTGTCATGGAATTGTAAATGTTCAAATTTCCATTTTGTCTCGTCCATGTTGGCTTAAAACAGAGTTCATTCTTGACCTTGTAAACACCAACTGAGAAAATATTCTCACCACAAGGTTTATTTAGTAACATCCTTCTTTGTTTCTTTTGGACAGCTGGCATGCTGTAACACAGATTGTGACAGCAGAGTAAATGGCACTCCGCTCTCAGTTGGTGTTGTTTTTTTCCTCCACCTTGTTCATTATTTCAAATATATTAATAAACCTTGTAGTTCAGTATCTATTTTGGTGTCTACAATACTAACCCACTAATTGGAACCCAACTTCTCTCCATAATTAGTAAGCAAAACTTTTTTTAACTAATAAACTATCGTTATTAAGTTTAGTTGTCAGACATCCTGTGCAGAACATTCTCAAAGTGCTGGAATGGGGAGCTATGGGAGTCTGCTTGTGGTTAATTCTGATAAGTGGAAAGTAAAAAATACTTTTAATAAGAGATTAAGAATAATCTCAGGCTTCTCAATCTTCACTCATAACCATAATCATGTGACACCCTGAGGTTTCCTGTCTGTCTTTTTTTTTATCTCACTCTACAGAAGTTCAACAATGACTGGTGGATTGGCCGTCTGGTAAAAGAAGGCTGTGACATCGGCTTCATCCCGAGTCCTCTGAAGTTGGAAAACATCCGACTCCATCAGGAACAGAAGAGAGGACGCTTCCACGGGTGAGTGTAGGAGGTGGACAGGTTCCAAACTGGGATGTGAGAGTACAGGAGGTGGAGGAATCAGCAGCAGCAGCAGCAGAAATTGTAGCGAAGACACACAGATCAAAAGGGATAAAGAGAGTTGGAGGGTTTGGGGCCACTTCAGGGATGAGTAAAGCCTGGCAGTTGAGCTGGCAGATAGAGAGGAAGTGAGGTGGATGAAAGCCAAGCTATGTTGTGTGGTCCAACCTCTCAGAGGTGTGCCTGGATCGTAGCCACAACAAAATTTTCCATCAGATGCGGTGATGTGTTTCAGCCACCAAGGCGATTAGATGTTGAGTGCCATCCTCAGTTACAATGGTGAGAGAAAAAAAGTAATTTTCCCTCTTCCTGGTTTTCTGACAGTTTCATAAAGGGATGTGTAGCCTGAAGACAGTCTGTGGTCATCTGTTTCCCAGGGGTCAGTAGTGTTTGATGATCACATCTTTGCTGGTTTTCACATTAACACTTTTCTCTTTCTATTTGCTGTTATCATTGTAGCAGTAAGTCTAGTGGGAATTCCTCCTCCAGTCTGGGAGAAATGGTGTCGGGCACATTCAAGCCGAACCCCAACTCTGCAGGTTGGTCCCACAGATACAAGTCTGTTTAGCCCTGAGAGGAAACACAGTCGTCTCATTCACAGAGGGAATTGTTTGTCTTGGTATCTGCTCTGTAGTTGTGTCTGTATAACAGTGAGAGTATTTATTCAGCTCCTGTGACACTGTGGTGCTTTATAAGGACTAACATAATTATAGTTATAGTCCCACTCCAGTATGCACTTATTCACCTGATCTTTCTTTTCTTTTTCAGGAAAGCAGAAACAGAAAGTGGTGAGTATGACCATTTACATAATAATACTAATAATACTAATAAAAATAATAACAATAACAATAATTATAATAACCATATAGCGATATACTTTCTGAGGAAAAAAACAAGGTTCAGGTTAACTTTATTTGTACTTTAAAATTAAAAGTGCTCCAGGCTCTAAAAATCAGGACTTACAAAAAGAGATCAATAAAAAACACAAAAAAATAAAAAATAAATACTAATAAATAAACAAATAGAAACCCATGTTACTACAACTCGTTGATCTGAATGGTAGCTGCTGGAACAAAGCTATTTTTATACTGTTTAGTTCTACATCTTGGGACTATAAACCTCTGTCAGGAAGGAAGTAGATGAAATTCACTGTGCAAAGCGTAGGAGTCATCATTTAAAATCGAGCTGTTATCTGCTGTAACTGTCTGGTGTACAGGGATTCTGGGTTAAGCTGTGAGTCAGCCATCAGACTACTAGACCATTTAACAATTTGATTGAGGGAGTTTTTGTTCTTTAGAGAAAGGTTTTCAAACCAATGAAAGCACGTTAAAACAAGGTCATCCTGGTTTTGTCAATGTGGAAATATATGACAATTTCCTCAAACAAAATGCGCTTGTGCCCGTTTTTGCACACATCTTCACATTTCTTTTCATAGATAAGTTGTGAGTCAATAATTGTCCCTAGATATTTGTAAGATTGGACACATTCCACTGTCTGACTCTTGATGGATGTGACTCCGTGTGTGGGCATGTTTTCTATTTCTATCATGTCTTTAGTTTTAGATATGTTTAATTTAAGATAGGAGTCCTCACACCATTTGACAAAGTCATTGATGACCGGGCCATGGCTGTGCTCATTGTCCTGGAGTCGACTAACAGAGTTATTTACACTTTAAAATGGTTCTGTTTTTTCCTTTGACACATGTTTGTGTAGAGGAGTTTAGGAGTATTACAATTTAAAATAAGTAAAGAACTCTCCACAGCTTTATCTCTTGAAATAATTACTCACATTGTTAATGGTAAACAGTCACTTTAAAAAAAAATGTGGCATCCTTCTACCGTATATGTCACATGTGGAGTGCAGGCTTGAATAATGTGAATGAATGTGGCTGTTGAGGTTTAAATGTGCAGTTACCTGAATTACCCAAATTAATTAAATGCCCCTTTGTTGCTTGATTGTTCTCTTAGTCAGTCAACCTTTTACTACTACTACTAATTTATACATTTAGACCACAGATTGTGCCTTTTATTAACATGCCATCCTTGTGGCAGTTTCACAAAATTAAAACTGAGTTCTCAACAAACTAAAATAGACTGCTTTCTAGAAAACCACTCCCAGTAATTTTAACAACCATCTGTGTTAGAATACATCTTTGTATCTTTTGAGAGCCACCTCCTGCTTAACTGACTTTGAGTGAAATAATACATTTTCTCAAATGTATAAGAACATAGCCTGACACCACTAAAAAGTGTTATTAATTTGTTAACAGTGAATTTCATCTTGCACATATTCTTTAAGTTTCATTTATTTATCATTCTACAACACAACAGGGTTGTACAGTGAAATGCAAGTTGTACTCCCTTTATGCTGTACAAGAAAAACTATTTAATAAAGTGGAGTCTGGAGGATGAGTTGAGTCTAACAGCCTGAGAAAAGAAGCTGCCCTGTAGCCTGTCGGTAAGGCATTACTGGACATAATTCATTTCATGTGAGTCCTCTGTAGACATAGATTAACAACTATTCACTATGATTTTAGTGCAGCCAAAGTCAGTGGGTTATTTTGAATGAACTGGTTGTGTTGTTTAAGTCTGATTCTACTCTGCAGACTGTTCTTTCTAAAAAGTGATAAATCCTTGACACAGTAACACCACGCTCCATGATGACATGTCTATAGTTTAAAACCATGAAAACATTTCAGTATCTCTCCATTTACATTGATATTTCACAGTTTCCTTAGAGAGATGCTTGCTAATATTAAATCTTGACTGTATGTGTGTGCCCTCCAGGCTGAGCACGTCCCTCCGTATGACGTGGTTCCCTCCATGAGGCCGGTTGTCCTGGTGGGACCATCCCTGAAAGGTTACGAGGTAGGAAGCAGTGTGGCTCCTCCAGCATTCTGACTCAACCTGTTTTTAAAGCCACAACTAAAGCCTCTTAATCCTCACATCCTTCAGCCAACTATATCATACAACTAATAATATAAATATTCAATAGTCTAGGTAGGGCATTTACATATACTTCATAAATCCTTAATTCAGCACTGATTAAGGTGAAATAACTTGCATGCTCCTTCTTTGACATTATTTTCTAGGAGTGACAATGCATCCATTATGTTCCAACGCTTTATGTTGCATCATGTCTTAGGTTCTTGCATTTCCACCCATATTAATTCTTTCTAAAGTTAAGATTCCCCGAGATACAGCATTACAGCTGAAACTGCTCATTGATTATCAGTTACCACTGGAACCACAGGGCAAACAATAAAGGAGGCCAAGGAGGTGGTGGGAGGTGGGAGTCAGTTGTCATGGAATCACAGTCTTCGCCTCCCATTCTGGTGTTGCCGTGGTAACAACCTTCTGAGTAAACTGCATCAGTCTGAAAAAGTGGTGCATGGTTTGAAATTAGAAACAGAGAATAATGTACTGCACAAAGGTTGTGGAATACGAGGAGTGACTGAACCGGTCATTTAATGTGTCCGTAAGAAATAGAGATTTTAGCAATTAATCACATCAGACACCTTTATGGTTTTTTGTTGAAGCGATATCAGAAAGCAACTTAGTTCTAAAAATAATAATAATAACACTTATGAAGTACGAGACTTTGCGTTAGCAGTGCTATTCTTTCTGCCAGTGGCACAGAGTGAGGATGTAGTTATTTTTATTTATTACAGGGTGTTTAATACGAGAGTGCATTGTGACGAGCTTGTGTGAAGGGTGTTACAGTTGCAGCGGTTAAAAAAGTATTCAGATCCTTTGCTCAAGTAAAAGGAGCTATTCCACTAATGCTCCCTTACAAGTTAAAGCTTTCAAAATGTTAATGGAAGTAAGTATTATCAGCAGAATGTACTTACGACATAATCCAATATGAATGTAAGCAGCAGTTTAATGTTGCAGCTGGTTGAGCTGTACAATAGCAACTTGTTTAGTAGTTTAACAAAAGATACAATATACAAGGATACACGGTAATTGAATTGTAATTTTACATCGCAGGGTTGTGTAATGGAATTCATGTTTTAGTTGCCTTTATGATACCAGTAAAAACAAAAGATATATGTTTGATTGAAATTGATTGAGGAGTCATACAAACACAACGTAACGTAATATGTAACAATGCATCTAATTTTATAAGCTGATCATTTGTTTGTATGCAAAATATACATTTTCAAAGTAATGGTAGCTGTAGGATGAATATAGTAGAAATAAATAGAAGCATAAAATACAAAAAGTCAAGTCAAAATTTAACTTTGATTCATTACTTTAGTAAATGTACTTAGCAACTCTCCACAACTCTACAGATGGAAACCGAATCATCTTTTTGATCTACAAAGTCATTGCACGTGTTAATAGAAGAACACTTCATCCGACAACTGCTCCATGTTTCAGCTCAAAGGACATGCAGCCCCCGTCAAGCCTCTGTCACTGTCAAGCTCATTTGATCAAATCAGAGTGACAGCTGTCATCAGCAAAAGCCATATTGGAGGCTGCGCTTTGTGATCGGCCCGATTCATCGCCTGTGTATTGGCCTTTGCAACACTTCTAATTGTAGCTCTTAATCACTTTATTTAATGTGGCCCATGTTCCTTCTGCGGAGAGCCTGGGCGAAAGAAACTGTGCTCGCTGTAGACAAATCACTCGGTCAAGTGTGAAATTCACAGAATGTGCTCAGCGGCAGCAGCCCGAGTGGACGTCATCTGAATGAATATTCAACTTCCACTTGTTTGCTGCTCTATAGCATATTCAGTAAATGTGTAGGGATGTTGACGTTGTAGGCCTCCTTTGTTTGCTTGTAACATGCCTGTGTTCTCTCCCTGGCTTCTTTGCCTAATCTTTCTTGAATGACCTGATATTCTCTTTCTTCCTCTTCCTTTTCCATCTCCTGTCTCTCGCCCTCTCCCTGATTCATCATTGCAGGTGACAGATATGATGCAGAAGGCGCTGTTTGACTTTCTGAAGCACAGGTTTGATGGGAGGTGAGCAGTCAAAGCGAAGTGCGTCAGTCGTGCAGTGCATCGCCCTGCTGCCTGTTGCTCCCTGTGACGCGTGTGTCTTGTGCTGTTTCAGGATATCCATCACAAGGGTAACAGCTGACATATCATTGGCCAAGAGGTCAGTACTAAACAACCCCAGTAAGAGGGCCATCATTGAGAGATCCAACACCCGCTCCAGCCTGGGTAAAGCTACAGGAACTGTTTCACTCAATGATGTGCATGTCTTGTATGTGTTGAAACTGTGAATGTTTTGCTGTTACCTTTATATTCCTCCCTGTTCATAGCTTCTCTACTATATGTTGTTGTCTTCTTGTAGCGGAGGTCCAGAGTGAGATAGAGAGGATCTTTGAGCTGGCCAGGTCTCTACAGCTGGTAGTATTGGATGCAGACACTATTAACCATCCAGCACAGCTCATCAAGACCTCATTAGCACCCATTATCGTCCATGTTAAAGTGTCCTCACCTAAGGTAAGATTGAAGGTGTAGATAGTAGAGAGCCATTCAATAAAACTGTTGATTCTCACAATGGCTGCCTAGTATCCTAGTAGAATACTGTATATAGTTTAAGAATTAGCATTATTTAGTGAGAGTGATAAAAAATAACTTGCTGCACTTGGCAACCAATAGCAGAATAATATGTCGAAAAGAATCTCAGAAACAGTTTTAGTTTGTGAAGTGAAATATGAGGAGACCCATCTAGGCAGTGAGGAGAAGGCTTATAGGCAGAAGGCAAGACTTTTAAACTTGGCAACCCTAACCTTCAGTAGGCGTTTATTCCATAACTGGAAATATTTCCTTGTATTTTTCTACCCTATATGTGCTTCCCACAGGTCCTCCAGCGGCTCATTAAATCAAGAGGGAAATCTCAAAGCAAACACCTGAATGTGCAGCTTGTTGCAGCAGAAAAACTAGCACAGTGTCCTTCTGTGAGTCAACTTACACCAACCAACTTTCAACACCCTTTTAAATCCAGACAAGCAACATCCACTTAGCTAGGTTTTATTCTGCAACCACCAGTGGTGAAGCTTTAAAAAAGAAATCCATATACAGAAGCTACACTTTCCTCTCTTCCTTTCCCATCTCAGGAGATGTTTGATATTATTCTGGACGAGAACCAGCTGGAAGATGCGTGTGAACACCTGGCAGAGTACCTGGAGGCATATTGGCGTGCTACACATACTTCACTGAGCACGCCACTCAATCCTTTGTTGGGACGCAACCTGGGCTCCACTGCGCTCTCCCCGTATCCGGCTGCCATTCAGGTGAACTTGTCAAAGAGGAGAAATAAAATAAAAAGCTGTCTTGTATTCTCTGTCTTTGGGAGTTCATTTAAAGTCTGAACTTAACAATAATTCATCCATGTTTTAACATGTTGCTTGTCTGTAAAATTCAGTCACAGTCAAGCTGCTGAACTTTGACCTTCACTTGTAGTTTCCTCATTGACAGTAATCAGGAAACTTTGATGCCTACATGGCCTATTTTGGGCAGAAATCCTTAAAGAAAGCTTCAACATTCAGTAACTTGACATAGAACATCTTCTTAGGCCCTTAAATATGTTTATATCAATAGGTATTTACAATAAATTCACTAGATCTAACTTTTTAACCTTTGCAGTACTTTACAATCTATCTCCTCTCTCAAACAGGCCCAAAGAAACCGCAACAGCAACCACACAACAGACCATTCACCTGTTGAGCGCCGCAGCCTGATGCCCGCTGACGAGAACTACCACAACGAACGGGCGAGAAAAAATCGCAACCGTCTGTCCTCGGGTTCACAGCACAGCCGTGACCACTCGCCTCTGGTGGAGGAGGACTACCAGGACCCCTACCAGGATTCTTACAAGCCTCATCGTAACCGAGGATCCCCAGGGGGTTACAGCCAGGACTCTAGGCACCGGCTTTGAGCTGTGGCCTGCCTGTAAACAAAATATAGGCCTTTCTTCTCTAAACAACCACCAAAAGAGACAAATAAGTTGAGGCGGCTTTGCTGTAACATGATGAAACTACTACACTCATTTGGACTGTAACAACTTCGTATTGATGTGTAGTAACTCATTTTACCTTTGGCCTCGACTCCTGCCAAATGAGCATTTGAACCTAAAAAAAATTATAATAAGAATCCTGCTCCTGCTTTGATGTGAACAAGGGAAGGGACTGTATATGAAAGTAGCACAAGAGCAGAAAAGTTGTGTTTTAAAGGGACGGCTAATGCTGGACCTGATCTGAATATGCCCCAGATGTGGCTTGTGAGTGAAGTACACTAGCAGGTGATAGTGTGTGACGTAGGCTCTTCTGGACCCTCCCCGCCATCTCAGCTGTTACTGTAGCATGCAGGTAGGACTGTCATTACAGGTCACTACCTGCCACAAGCCAGTGTGAGACAGCAAGAGCACCCAGCGGTGATGATCAGCACAGAACCCGATTGCACGTGTCCAGGAGCTGGTAGAAGCAGAGTATAATGCATCTTTAATGCTCCTCAGTTTTTGTTTGCCACTGTCCTCGATGTCGGTGTACTAAACCCTGTGGAAGCCTGTTTTCGAATCCAGAGTTTTACACGTTTGTTTTTAAAGTAACATGGATGGTGTTGTGGTGTTCTCTTCAGGATTCATACAGTAGCTCCCTGTATTCCCCCTCTTTGTTATATCTCAATGCCATTTTTTGTCATTAACCATATCAAGAGAGGAAATATAAAAACCACGCAGATACTAAAACATTTTAAAGCTTCAGATCTCAGGAATGAGAGGTCATTTAGACCTAGAAGTGTGCTGACAGATGTAGCGTTCATGTTCTTACCCATCTGATGGGGATTTGATTCTGAGCATTATGTTAAATCGTTAAGAGATTGTATGATGTAGTTGTTACAAAAAAAGTTATTAATATAAGGAAGGAACACTTCCGGGACAGGAGTCATTATGCTCATGTCAGCATGTTTTTCATTTGTCATGCCTTTGTCAACTGCTGTTGTCTGTCGTGTCTGGCAGGACATCAATTGGAAATGATATAATTGGATTTTAGTGAGTGACCTACATTGAGGGCTTCCATGTGTAAATACAGTCAAAATAATTCAAGAAAGGAAACCTCAATTTATTTAAAGTTTCACTTTCAGTACATTCAGTTACATTCCATTCATTTCTTCTTTTAAAACCTTGCATACGCCTTCCAACATCTGATAAAAAAAGATAGATGTTCTCCATCTTATTTTATTATTAAAGGTTCCATAAAATAAAATAACATTTTGACATATTTTCATTGAGTAGCAATTTAGGTCCTTTTCTTCACATTTTCAGCTATAGCTTTTTTACTGTATTACATTTGCGTTTCATTAAAGACTCCTTGTAAGTGAGGAACTATCTGAAAGCACTTGGGCAGAACTGTGCTGTATTTGTCACAATGTCTTTCACATGCTACGTTCATGGAAATGTAGAGACGTTCCCTGCATTTGTTTTTTAATCAGATGAATTCACGTGTATGCTGCCAGAAATGCAAGATTCATATCTTTAATGACATATCATTGTATCTTGTTATTTAATATTTGTTGAAAATCTCAAGTTTAGTTTTTTTTTTATTTTAATCATAGGCCAGAGATCTCATTGTGCTTCAGTGATTCTGGGAAAGGAAGATTGACAAGGAGACTTCTGTTCTTATCTGCCATATACAGTAGCTTTTATTGGTGTTGTTTCAAAACTCTGGAGCAACAATTTAACAGATTTGAATACTGCCTGTGAGAGAATGATGCATTGATTAGAAATTTGTGTGCACTGTAATTCTACAATTGTAATGAATTAAACTGCCCTTATGCTGTTGTATGGATAGTACTGTCTTCTGTTCAAAAATATACAGACACCTGTTCCTGACCTCATTTCTTCATATGTCTTGATATTTTTTAAAAAAAACTATTATATATTTTCTCGATAATTCAAGCAATAATTTGGTTTATAACATTTCAGAAAATAATGAAAAATCACATTTTCTCTGAGCCTAAGGTGATATATTTTCTGATCAACAGAACAAAATTCATAAAATGTTCCCATTTCTTCCAGTTTTGCTGGGGGGAAAAAATTGGTGCTGATATATTTTCTGTAGGTTAATTGACCCTTCAATTCAGTTATAATCGTTCAATATAATTTGTGATAAGATGATGATAAGGTGATTATACTTTTATGTACAAATAATCTAATATTCCGTATCTAGTTTACGTGAAAATGATAAATTTTTATTATTCCTATTATTGCTGTAATATCTATATCTATATGAATATATCTGGTATTCTTCCAAACTTATCGTCGGATTAATTAACGCCCTCTTTGTCTGTATTTAGTATATATATTATTTATTCGCTGTAAATGCTTTTCAGTCAATATATTTTGTACCAACAGGGCCGAGCTAGTACGCATGCGCAAGATTGACAGCTAACTAGCGCAGCGCACTTCACAACAGCCAGCTGACACCGCCAGCTAACCACAGTGGTTTACGTTTGGTTTTGTTTCCGGCAATACATTAACCGTCACGACGCTACAATTAAATCCTATGGGAGCGACATAGTTGAGATTATTTCATAGAAGTATCATGGCGGTTGTACTTAAAAGCTTTGACAGCTCTTCGTCTGTGTAGTTTGCTAGCTAGCTAGCTAGTTAAAGTTGATAGCACTGAATAGCATCAACGCTAGCTAGCTAAGGTACAGCGGATTCTCACAAGCTGGCACCAGAAAACCTAATCGTCAACCATGGGAATACTATTTACAAAGCTATGGAGGCTTTTTAATCACCAAGGTAAGAGTGGCTCCGAGACATTTATCATGAAACTGTCGAATACATGGAAGCTAAGTGGGCTCGGTGGTCAGAGAAGGCCCGCTTTGAAAGACAGGTCTGCCCCGTTTATACTAGCCCGGGCAACAGCTTTCTACACATGTCCCTTCATAACTAAGTCTTATTTTGTTTCCACAGTGTTAATAATAACGTTATCTGTATATACGTGTCACCACTACGCTTACGCCGCGTAGACAGTGTTATTATTATTGTATTAACTGGGGAAGTAACGTTATGTCGTCTCGTACCAACTCTGCATTCACTTAGTGTTAGATTATTTATGCTCTCTGGGGTTGGAGCGAAGGGTAGGTGAAACCAAGTCGATCTTGAATCAGTAAACAGGTAGGCCATTGCGAAATCTCTGTAACATGAGTCCCGGCGTATGTTTGAGCCCGGTTGACCGGTATTGTGACTGAAGATGGCTACACAAGCAGAGTACACTGAAGTCAGCCACATCAGCAGAATACTCGGGCCAGTAAGGATCAATGAATCACTTGAATCACATTGACTTTGTACTGCCATTGTAATCACATCACCTTATCAGTGTTATGTCAGGAATACAGGTAGGCCGACATCCCTACGTATAACTACAATATTCAGTTTTAATTGGTTATGACTCAAAGTAGATTGCATGGATACACAGCTGTCACCTGTGAACCAAATTGGAGTAAACTAGTGACTTCTGGGAAGTAGCAGGTTTGTTAGCTGTTAACATACCCAACATTAGAGCTGAAACAAATAATTGATTTGTCAATCGACAGGAGATAAACCCTGACTTGCTGTTTATCTCTGTCTGATTCATTTTTTAAAGTGACTGTCTTTAGGTATTGAGCTGTTGGTTGGGCAAAACAGACAATGCCGCATTAGGGTAATTGGGAAAATTGGGGAAATAGTGATGGGCATATTTCAGTCTGTAAGGCTTTTATTGTAACCCCTGGATCTAGCCCCAGCTACACTTGTCTCCCCTGTTGATTGATTCAACCCAGTGCAACAACAGAAGTTCATTCACAGGGAGAAGGACATGTGATTACAAACGTGGTTATCCATATTCCCAGCAGCTTAATGTTACTTGTGTAACTTTAAGGCAATGGTAGAAAACTCTGATTCAACATTATGGTCACACAGACTTGCTAATTGCTTTCACATGATCTTACGCTTGTTCTAAAGCATTTAAATGCATATCCATATATTCTAAAATAGTTATTCTGTTCAGGGTGATATGTGACCTTGGAGACTATCCCAGCCGATCCCACACATTGGGCAATGGGTGGGATTCACCCTGTAGATATAGATGGACACCTTCACGCTTACAGTATGGGCAGTTTAGAGTTTCTTTTGATTACATTTTATTTAAACCAGGTGATTTAATGGTTGATAGTTTAAGTTAATCAGCATAAATTTTGATAATTGATTATCATTGTAAAGCATTTTTTCAACCATAAATACCCACGATTTGCTATGTTGATCCCCTCAAATGTGAGAAGTTACAGTTTTTTCCGATATTAAATTTAAAAACAAGCATTTAGAAACATCACCTTGAACTCTAGAAAGTTGTGATGGCCATTTTACCCTATTTTCAGACATTTTTTTAATCCAAACAATTAATACAGAAAATAATAAACAGAATAATCTCAATCAAAACAATATTAGTGGGTGCCGGTTAGCTCAGTGGGTAGAACTTGCAACCCATTTACCTAGGCTGAGTCCTTGCTGCAGCAGTCCAGGGTTCGAATCCAACCTGTGGCCCTTTGCTGCGTGTCATCCCCCCTCTCTCTACTCCCCTTTCCTGTCTATCTTCAGCTGTATCTATCAAATAAAGGCAATAAAAGGCCAAAAAAAAAAAAAAAAAAACAGTATTAGTTGCTACTTTGGACTGTGAAAGGAAACCAATGCAGCCACTGTGCTCCTTTTAAACATTTTAACAGTTTCTTTAGAAAGTGTGCAAGCAGCTGGCACCTGCATGACCTTTTTATTCTAGACAAGACTTATTTGCCCCAGTCTCTTCCAATTGCTGACTTGTGACCTCCAAGGACTAAAGACAGCTTACGAAGCTGTGTGTTATGTCTATGGATGCAGTCTGTTATGTTTGCTAAAGCTATGTTTTTGCTGAAATAACATTAGTCCTTGTCTCTTCAGTTGTTTAGTTTCGTTTAGGTTCAACATGGTAGAGTTGCACAGATAAGGCCCACACTTACACACTTGTGTAATTTTTTGCAGCTGCTTCCACTTCCTTATCTTTTTTGAGGTTTTAGTTTTTCAGCTGTAACCGGACTGTGTATAGTAATGTACGTAGATCAGGTTTTACCAGGCAGAACATTAGATTTGGCAGGGTTGTATACTGGGTTTGGCTCCATAATTTCACTGGATGTAAGGTGTATTTCACACAGGAGAGGTGTGGTGCTTTTGTAAAATTGTTTGGTAGTTAGTAGAGTTAGTGAAGAAATATATTTGTCAGCCAGCACTGTTTTTATTTCCAATCCACAGAAGAAACATTATGGGGCACATCTTATGAATCATTTCATTGTATGCAGTTTATCTGACTCGACTGGTTAAAGGCTGGACTGAATTGCTGCCAATTTCTTCATTCTTGCATTTTTTAATTCTGTGTGAGAAAAATCCTCCCAGCAGTATGTAAAGCTGAAGAACCAGTCAGTCTCAGTCAACAGGCTGATGCTGTCACTTGTTATGGTATCCCATCATTCAGGCTCAAGGTGATGTCTGAGGTTGTGTGTTTGGTGAAAACCTCCATCAAACGTGCTTCATTGTTATGAGGTGGATGGTCAAAGCCATTATCAGATGGGACTGTCTTCGCAATAGCTTTGTGTGTTCCAAGCTTCCCAACACACTTTGGGCCTTCCTTCTAGCTGGCTGACTTGGTTGGCAGAAGCAGTTTCAGAGAATTTTACCTCCAGGCTGTACAAGGAAGGCGTAGAATAATGGACAGACTGACAGCACCTTTTACAGTTCAAAGTGAAATAGTTTCCATTGGTGTACTTAGAAAACAAGCTTACTACCCTGCCTTTTAAAACAACAACTATACAGTTGCATTTTGATTGGATTGATTTTAGACAATACCCTAAAGTCAGTTTTAGAGTTATTGCTGTGTTAGCTCTTATCAGCTGGAGGCCAAATGCATCCCAAGTATGCATGCCCTTATGTGTTGATTGTGAGATCCTGGGCTTTTCCATTGACCTGAAGATCATTCTGATAAGCCATACTGTATAGGATCAGAACAATGCAGGTAGAATGTGGGCTTGATCTCTTCCTGTCATGCTCTAGTTCTCTCGATTACCCATTTGGTCATAACTAATGACACCATCTTCTTGTCACAGGATCAGAAAAATGGCAACCTAATTAAGTTCTAGATGTAGAAAGAGCCTTTAGTGCTGTTGATGCTTGAAGCTGGGTTTTATGTCAAGAAAGATTTATCACAAGCAGCATGCCTTCACCTTTATCCTGTCCTTGTGCTTGCGTACTATAGGACATCTTACTATTCTCTTGTCACTTTGCTGAACAGCAAGACAGCAATTCATCCTAGTTGTCACAGGTTGTTAGTCTTGCTCATAGGTAAAACCTCTTTGTATGTGAGGAACAGAGAGGGAGAAATATATGGATGCCATCTCCACAGCAGCAGCTGGATTCAGCCTGATTGTACAAGCTTCCTTAAGACCGCCCACTAACTCATCTGTAGCTGTGAAAGTACACTGTTCACAGCACCACAATGTCTCAGTTATGCTAGATGCGTGAAGCTACACAATTTGGTACTGAAGGATAATGCCGAACACAAAAAGGGGCTGTTGTTTGACTAGCTCAATGCAGTTCCACATGAAAAGACATCTTTTAAACAGATTGCTTGGCTGAGTTTACATAAGACTTATACATCAGTCAGTCTGAGCAGCACTTAGCCCACATATTGATGTCACTGTTAGCTCTGTGAATTCATTGTAAGTGTCTTTATTGCCTTTCAGAGCACAAGGTTATTATTGTGGGCCTGGACAATGCTGGCAAGACCACAATTCTTTACCAGTTGTAAGTATCCAAATATAGCACTTTTACTAAGCTTCTTTTTATGTTGTCACAGTTGTATCCATCCGTTTAATATATAATACATGAAAAGGGTTATGAATGTTCTTTTTGTCACCCACAATCTTAAAGTTTTTTTCCATTTTGTATTTTACAGTTCAATGAATGAGGTGGTACACACCTCTCCTACGATTGGGAGCAACGTGGAGGAGATTGTGGTCAACAATACCCATTTTCTGATGTGGGACATTGGAGGCCAGGAGTCCCTTAGGTCATCGTGGAATACATACTACACAAACACAGAGGTAATGGCAGGTTATTTTGGCTCACTGTTTATCACAAATAACAGTCATGCTTCCTTTAGCATCCAACTGAAATAGGTAGAACGTTTTGAATTAAAGCCAGACTGATAAATTGGACAATATATGTATTTTAACATCTTCCTGTTAAATGATAACAGAAAAAGCGGTCATAATTCTGAAGGTCTCTGAACAACCAGCAAGGAGACTGAAGATTTAGTGTTTTATTTATACACAGTAAAATATCATAGTTTTACAAGTAACTTATAATAATAATAACTTCCAACTTCACAAAAACAAATACGGACGGACATATCGATACAATTGATGATGTATAGATAGATAGATATACTTTATTGATCCCAAGCTGGGAAATTGCAATATAACGTTAAGAGTAACTTACAAATTAACTCGCTACTAACTCGCTCCTCTTCCATCGTTTGATGCCTCTCCTGTCCTTGCCTGAACCCGCCATGAACCGCCGAGCCGGATGTAAGTCAGCTGGCCTCCGCTGGCCTGCCCCGCTCCAGTTCTGTTGCTCATTCCGTCCCCGCTGGGTCCCTTGCTCCTACGCTTGTAGTGTTTAACAATCCCCTGATACTTTCGTCCTGGTGACAAGGCGCAGCTCCTGAGTGGAGTTTGATCTGTTTTTGTTTTTCTTTAACTATCCCACTAATGAAAAGTGCATCAACTAAGACTCTTCTCAGCAACTAACGGTTAAGTCAACTATTAGGGGGCAGCCCTTTTACAGATATATCATAATTCTTGTTTTTATGTTGGCCAAAAAGTAATGAGAAATTACAGTACAGAAATGCCAACATAGGTTTGATTTGGTAGTTTTAAAACAGTGCCACTATGTGGCGGGTGTTGTCCGAGGTAGAGCAGGTCGCCCACGGAAGGTTGTTGGTTCAATCTCCAGCTCCTCCCACCACATGTTAAAGTATCCTTGAGCAAGATACTGAACCCCAAATTGCTCCCAGGTGAATGAGTGAGTTTCTTTTCGATGTTCGTGTGAATGTGTGTTTAAGGGCGCATGTGGCTGTAGTGTAAAAGCACTCGGAAGATTAGAAAGGTCCTATACAGGTACAGTCCATTTACCATTGAGTTGATTTATAAAATGTTTAACTTTAATTTAACTTTCCTGTGGAATAAAGTGAATGCATCATCTGTTTGGCTTTTGTAATTGGAGTTTATAGAGATTGCCAGTCAAACTATTCAAGTGAATATCGGCCGATAACTGTTGGTGGTGGACCAATCAAAGCAACCTTAAAAAAGGGATCTGCATCAAGATTTTTGTGTTTATTATCAGACTTTTTAAATTCTTTTTCACTTCCATCACAAATAAATTGCCACTATAGGTCTGTTACACAATTATTTCTAAATACTTGAATGTCTGCTGAAAATGACTGAACTTCCCATTATAATGTATTCCAGTCTGACTGAGATGCAGTATTTTTTTATTAACAGCCCATTATTTCTCTCCATCTTTTCTGAGTAGTTTGTCATTGTGGTGGTCGACAGCACAGACAGAGAAAGGATCTCCGTGACCAAAGATGAACTCTACAGAATGCTAGCACATGAAGTGAGTATCATGAAAAAAGGTCATTTTTTAGCATATATTTGGTTTATTTGCCAGACACCAGTCAATCATGTTGGAGGTCCTGGAGGGTAGACAAATATCATGTAATGTCAATACCTAATGGAAAATGACTTTAACTGAACTATATTAAACTGAAGTTAAAACCATTACTACAAAAAAGGCCACATTCGATTATATATCAGTTAGCATTTAGCACAGCAAACAAGAAGTTTGAAGAAGAACAAGAAGTCTCTCAAAAATGATAAATAAATATTATAAAATATAGTATGCAAAGCACTGCCAGTTTGCATTAAAACAAACAGAAAACCCCAGCAGATGCAAATAATGCTAAAATCCTGTGCAACTTTATATGACCCACCATTGCAGCAGTTAAAATCAGAGCCCGTCATATTATAGAACAATGATTAAAACCATTAAAAAGTACATCTGAGATTGTTATCTGATACAGATTTTTTAATGTGTTCAAACATGGGAGTAAAACTCAACTCTCAACTTTATTTATATAGCACTTATAATTTGTTTTTAAACAGGTCTTTAGTCTGAATTATGATTAGTTAACACTAACGCATTAGTTAATGCAGAGTGCAGATTTTTCATCTATAACTAGAATTATGTATGTGAATATACCTTGTGTTTTTGTGTCAAAGCAATCAAAGTAATTTTCCATGTAATGTTAATGGGATTTTGTGTACCACGTTTACATAATGTGTGCCAATGGAAGAGTCTATATTTCTTTACAGTCTCCTCTCTTGATGTCTCTTATCTGCCCTCCAGGATTTAAGAAAAGCAGGGCTGTTGATCTTTGCCAACAAGCAAGATGTGAAAGGTTGCATGTCTGTGGCTGAGATCTCCCAGAGCCTCCAGCTTACCTCTGTCAAAGACCACCAGTGGCACATCCAGGCCTGCTGCGCCCTCACTGGGGAGGGGTGAGAACTGCATTTATTTTTTATTCTTACTCACACCATTGTGCTTTTATGTAAGAAAAGTGTTATACAGTATACATACAGAGCTTTTTATCTTAATGCCTGTCTATCTGCATTTCTATCCCTCTCTCTTCCACATCCCCAATCCTGTACAACCCTCCCAAATGTCTTTTCTCCTCCAGGTTGTGCCAGGGTCTTGAGTGGATGATGTCACGGCTGCGTGTGAGATGATGACCTTTGACTTTGATCAAGAGTGCACCCTTGCTCTTTGTTTTTTCTGCCTCCAAACACAAGCTTGAAATGAGGATGGGCATGAGGTCGGTTGATGGATGGCCCTCTCCTCTTTCCTGTGATGCTGACGTGGGCAGACCGCTGCCAGGACCTTATATTATCTTCTGTGATAATTTATTTTACAAAAGACGTCTGAACTCAGAACAAACAAACGTGACCTTTTCAGAAGGACATTGGACAACAAAAGAGACTGAAATTATTTAAACTGAAATTTCTGCACGGTTTTCCTTTCAGCAAAACACAGAGGTCAGCAAAGTGTCTGAGTTGGAATGGTACATAGACTTATTCTTCAGCTGTGTGTGAGTCTAGCCCACAGTGGCCTTGCAGTATTGCCGGACTGGCTGTGGCGGTTTTTATTGCCCCCCTGTGTGTACAGTCCAGTATTTTCTTTTAACGTGGTGCCTGCAGCAGAATGTTGAAGCGATGATGGTTGATGGGGACTGAAACATGCAGAAATGAGGGTAAAATCACAATATGCCCTCTTCCTTTTCAGTCTCTATGAATAATCAGTGAAATAAAGTGTTTTTATCTGTTTCAGGTGAATTGAATTGTCATGAATGAGTATTTCTTTCAGGTGATTTACAATATTGCTCTTTTCTTCTGCACAATTTACCTTTCTCTAGGGATACTGTTGAGCTATACTAAGTTTTGTGTTTGTAACTTCAGTTATTCTTTTTTTAGTCCTTTAGGGGGCAGAGTGTGTCACATGAGCTCATAGTTCATGCCACAAGAATAGAGAAGAGAGAACCAGAGTGTAAGACAGCAGAGGGATTCAGAGAGAAAAGAAGAGACCAGGTCCAAAATGTGAGCATTGAGTGGTTAGGAGAAGAAGAAAACAGCCGAATAGTAAGGACTGCATTTTCAAAGAATCCAGTTCAAATTAATTTGAACTACTACAAACCAAAGCCGTTCAACTTATTTATTGTGACTCAGCTGCCTCACTTAGTTAAACTGTTGTCGTAGGAATGTTGGTGTGAGGAAGTTGCTTTTTACAAAGTCAGCAAACAGCCATACCATTATGTTTAAATGTGTCATTTGAAGCCACAAAAATACTATGACACATTTTCTCACATGGCCTGGTATTATTATCCTTTCATTATAATTTCTTCCGGGTTTTTTTTGTATGTAACAACTGGCCCATTAATGGCTTTAAACCTACTCCTACATAATTCAATCTGTGTAATGTAAAGTTTTAGCTCATGGTTTTGATTTTTTTTTTTGATTTTACTCTATGCTTCACTCTTAAATTCAACAATGGAACTTACTGACAAATGTGGAGATTTTAATGGAGAAATTAATATTATAGTAAAATCTTACTGCGTGAAGTAGAGCTGCAAAGATTAGTTGATTAGCTGATTAATTGCCAACTATTGATTCAATTAATCTTTTTACATCCTTTTTAAGAAAACATTTCAATGTTCTCACCTGACAGTAAACTGAATATCTTTGGGTCACCTTGAGCTTTGGGGAACAACTTATTGATTAATTGAGAAAAGGATAGATTAATTGATGATGACAATATTCGTTAGTTGCCGATCATGCAACTCCACCTGCTAATGAGTAAAATACCACAAATTACATCTGAAAGCGCCAGAACATTTCCAGTAAGAGGATCTTGTGTTAAAAGTAGTTTGTCATTTTTGGTTATTCTTTCCTTTTTCTATTTGAAACTGATTCTGCATTCATTGATATACATGTTTGAACCGATGTCTGTTATGTCATTGTTCCTGAAGCTCACACAATAGTGAACTGCTTCATATTTAACTGCTGTGATTTGCACACATCTGTGAACAGCTATCAGTCAAATTTATTTGTGTTTCAGTTTAGGCAAACATGTCAGGTGTTGTGCCAGGTAAGTCGAACCCAAATAGTACCACATCAACAAAATGCTAATAACTGACATACAGTAAGTTTTATGTTTATAATAATTCATTAAAATACTGTACGTGTTGCATCCATTTACCACCAATCTACAGTGCAGGACAGAAGACCTGTGTGGCCTCAGTTTATTTTGAGTAATGTGTCAGTGATGGTGTCAGACACTATAATCACCCAGAGGATGTGACCGCAGACTTGAGATCTTTGATCGACATACTGTTTCCACAGGTCTAATGAATCTAACCAACAATGAAGGTTTGTGTAATGATAGACTATTTAGCATTTCTGTCCAAATCCCAAAGTGATGATAAGGGTTATTTTATTACTCAATCAGTCCAGCTCTTACTTACCAGCATTAATGAAGCGAAGAAATCACTTGCTTGTTATAGAGCTAGAAAGGTCAGTGCAGATGTTTGTGTTGATCTGGAATTCTGCCTGATTGTAACATCAACCGATCCTGTTCTTGGAAGTCATTCTGTGACTGTGTAATTGGTGTCATTTTAGGCCTCTTACCTCACTTGAATTCATTGTTTCTTTCCTAGGTGTCGGTGGACAGTTGGCAGTGTTTATGTTGTGGTTGTCTATCCTGCAGCTGTTGTGTTCTGGTCTCACTGGTCATCACTCATTTTTTCCAGTGACTAAGCATCATGAAGCCCCCTCCCCGGGTGTCCTTGGCACCCAGAGAGGGGGCTTCATGATGCTTTTGACTGCTAGAATCATTAAAGCCTATGATACCTTGTCTGAACTTGAAATGTAATCCACCAAATGTCTCCATAGCCTAAAAAATCCTTTCCTGCTATCATAAACTCAACAAAATGTTTTTTTTAATGTATCAACCGTCATTTATCAATTCAATCAGTGGTATCTAGTTATGTAAATAGTTCTAAAATTATATTCCTAGGCTTGAGATATTCTTCAATACAATAGAGGTAATTACATTGCATTTGTGGCTTTTTTTTAAAGTGCAACATCTCTTTCCAGAAACATTCTCTCTTACTCAGGCAAATCTACCTAACAAACCACCAAAGGGACCTAATGAAAGGGAATATTTAGAAAGCAGTTCCAGTGAAAACAGTTGACAGTGAGGTCTGGAAAATCCACAGTAACCAGGGCATTGTCTGTGGAAGAACATGTTGCAGTCACAAACAAATCATCATACTCTCCCATTATATTTGGCTGAAATCTCCAAGACAGATAACTCAAAACTGAAACCTTAATTTCAGGCACTGAATGCTTTTCCTGTCTTGATATATGGTGGAAACACGAGTACAATTTGGTTGACTCACCTTTTAAAACACAACTACTTCTTCAGTTTTGTAGATTAGATGAGATCTAAGCTGCAATGATGTTGCGAATGAGGACCAAGCAGCCATTCAGACTCACAGAATGGAGGGCCATTACCACTCTCCAGAGGGGGAGAGAGAGAGAGACATTCAGCTGCTGCTGTCCGTCTTGGTCCCTCGGTAGCACCCTGCTCCTGGCACAAAGAGTGAGAGCAAAGATATTACATACCAGAGAGATAGAGGCACATCACTTGAAGAGATGAAATGTACATATGGTGTATTTACATTTACATATCTACATGTTCAGAGTATAAGCCATTTGCCTCTTGATTTTGTTCATAGATAGATTGCTGTTAAATTAAACCATAGCTGCCACTGGACCTCAACTGTATGGTGCTATCTAGAAATAGTTCTTGATGTATTTTTAAATCCTTAAATACTTCTTATGAACTTGGATCATGTAATGCTTAGATGCTGTCTGCTCTACCACTTTGAAAATGTATAAAATGCACTTTTTTTGACCCGGGTATCAGCCAATGATGATGTGAGAGGTTGAGTGGAGTTTCTCTAGTCTTTTTATAACATGAAGTATAAACTGCATTGAGAGCTGTCATATTGTTTTATGGGTTTGTTAACGTACAAGGTTGAATTGTATACGTACAGCACAGCAGTATTCTGTCCTCAGTGGTGTAAAATGTATCATGTCAGATGTCCTCAATCTTCATTCCAAAGCAAATGTCAAGACTTGCCCAGGGTGACTCATTATTCTTTTACAGGCTTTGTCCTTAATCCTGTGGGCATCAGTGATTTTATTTAGACTTATTTTTTTTCAGATACAGGTACATTTGAAATACTACTAGCTATTCATTTGTGGCTTATGTTTATCAGGGAATGTACTTGTTTCTTATTTCTTATTTTCTGTCTCACAGGTCCTTTGTTTGATATTGACCTGATTTTTGACAGGACCTAGCCAGCTCAGGGTCAGCTAACAGATGACCTCAACATATCTGGCACTCAGCCCTCCCATGCCTTCAGCTACCCTTCTCCTCATATCCTTACCCATGGTCAGACCTGTTTCCAAACATTTATAAATTTAAACAGCTGCATTTGTCAACATCACAACCAACACACACCTATTCACACAGATTGATACTGTTGTAGTTGGGGTTTACTCTTGTTTTCTTGAGACCCCCGCCACCTCCCGTGCCCCACTGCCTTCCTCATAACTGTACCGCTGATGCATTAGCCTCAACAGGTGCTCTTTTCTGAAAGGATCACTTAGGTATATTTAGATTTTGAAACCTGAGAGTACTGGCCTGTGATTGGCTGTGCCGGCCACATGATAACCTGGGTAGAAACCGCAGCTGTGTGCTGTCTACCAGCGTTTCTCTGGAGGGAAGCTGGGAAGGCTTTGGCGGCTTGGGAGACCATTAAACTTTAATATAACTGGTAAGCAAAGAAAGGGAGAAAAAGCACAAATATCCACATTTACTCCACCCTGCATGGCTTTCCATCTGCTCGGACTTCCATCATTTCCATCATTTCCATCCTGTGCTGCCATCTGGATCCAGGAGGACAGCTGATTGAGGAATAAGGAGTGTGAAGGCTCTGCTGCACATTGAAGGAGTAACCAAACAATCCAGAACTGCAAGACTCGAGCAAGCTCAGACCAGGCCTGCCTTTGGATGTATCTGAAAGTTCGGCAGCAGTCTGGCCATCTTGTCTTCTTTCCAAAAGCTCAGCACCTGTCTGGCTATTTTGTCCTTCTTCCTTAGCTGTTCTACCTATTTCTCATGTTTTACAGGGAAAATTATATTTTGATTCAAAGAGAAGTCAAATCAAGTGCTAAAAAAAGGTAGTTAGTATGCCATCCTATATTTAACCTGCAGCCTCAGAAGGCATTGCATCTCCGTTTGCTAAACAGAGTCAACCAATCAGGCTGTGGCATTAGCTTACATGTCAAATAGCTGAAGCACTGTTGGGCAGCTGTCGCCAACCTTCAGCAAGGAGGCACCGTTCTTTGAGCTGTGTTGTGGCAAGTGAGGGAGGAGGGGTGGCTGTCACACATTCAAAGGCAGAGAGGCCTGTTATAATCCAGTGTCTCACCTTCCTAATCTGCCATTCTCCCCGTGTAATTACTGATTTACATTTGTTGCACAGTTTTTGAGGTGTTTCACACATTTTTATTACTTTGTTTAGGCTTGGGGCAAATCACAAAGTTGGACTATCAGTTTGAGACCCTAGTGGATGGCAAGTGAGGCTTCCTTACTGTCAGGAAATACTGCGGAAATCTTTTGCTGGTATGGCATGCTCATTGGTTGAAAATTGTTATGTTGGTCATATATTTGTCTAGAATGTCTTTGCTGTTTATTATTCCACATTTTGAAAAGGGTAATTGGGTTCAACAGGGGACGGCTGGCAGCATCCTAAAATGGTGCAGTTGTCCTTTGGTCTCTTGTCTAAGCCCCAGTATATGCTCTTTGAAATTGTGATTTTGTGCTACTGATAAAACATTTAAGTTAACTCTGCTACACCTTTATGTTATGTGCTTCCCCATAAAATATGATCTTCAGCTTATGAGGCCAATCCTTGTTCATTCAGAGTTTGAATAATGAATGCCCCTTCTTTTTGTGTAGAGCTTCTAAAACCGTCCCATAATGACGGAAATTGTGGAGGAATATGAGGAATTTGAGGAGGAGGAGGAGGAGGAGGAGGAGATAATAGAAGAGGTAAGTGCACATCTTTTTACTGGGCTATGTACATAAATCTTAAAATGCAAGACTGTTTTTCCTTTACTTTAATTACTATACTTAATTAGTTTTTGTTGTTTTTAGCCTAAATATTATTAAAACCTGAGATATGATTTCATTTGATTGAGTAGATTGAGATTATCTACAGGGATCTGCAGGTCCAGTGGCAGGCCCTATGAATAGTTAAGTTAGTGACCCCCTCCAGTCAGCAGTTCATGGAACCAGTCATCCATGTCTGCTTTGGGATCCTGTTTCAGACGGACACCTTCTGATGGGTTTTAAGTCCTGGATTACTCTTTAACAACCAACTATAAATCAAAACTATTTCAAACTGTAGATAGAATATTTTACTGGGACATTTTCTGTTGTCCTATGAAGGTGCGGATGCCTTTACCAGAGGCCTTGCCTTATGGCAGACAGCCACACAACTTTATAAATTGAGTCTAATGACGTAAACATTACATTGTCAGATGCACAAGATAAAGTCATTTATTTCCACAGATTCCTGCAGATGACTTTACAGTATTCTTTTAATTGTATTTTTGTAGCATGTCGTCAGTTATCTCAAACATATCTAATATCAATGAACATGTTTTGCAGTGCTGTAATGGTACCCAGATTATAATAGCATCCTTCCTGTATAGCATAGATGAAGATTGGATTACATACAGTTTGGGGGGTGCTGGTTTCTGACCTTATCATTTTGTCTTTTGTTTCAAATGACCTGTTGAAGTTCCTAATTTGATGTTCATCAGCAGGCTCCAGTCACATTTGTGTCCAGATTATGTGATTAAACCAAGATGATAGCCAATGCTTGTGCTGGTGCTATTTGGGATCCTAATAAACAAACAAACAAACACATTTCAGGATGTTTCCATGCTGCATTTAGAGTTCATTATGTGTATGAATTGTTGTGTTGGCGAAGGTCTCTGTGTCAGTGTCCAATGGAAGAGTGAAAACAGAAGGCTAACAGGTTAATCCGATATTTCCTGGTGAAATAGGATTAAAGTTAGCCTTGTATTTGTTCATACTCAATATTGCTGATATCTTATAGGGGAGTCTGAATGATTGTTACGTAAACATACCAAGCAATTAGTTATAATTTAGCTCCCATATAACATATCAGTTGTTTCAAATAGATTTGCAATCTTTACTGCAAAGATGTAAATCATCTGGGAGGCGGAACAGATGGATACCCACATACTCAATACACTCTGATTTCACGAGCACTTTCATCTACACTGGAGAAAATTTGCATTGTTTTAAGTAAATGGTAAGATGGCTTCTTATTTAATCTACAGAATGGGGAGAAACATAGTGCTGTTATAATTGAAAATACACAATACAGCTATGTAGAAGTTTTATCTGTATTTCATAAATCCTGAGCATATTTTTTTCATATTAACTAAAAACATGACATAGGTCCTTAGGTCATTAAGGGGGTGGAGTGTAGAGTTCTCTGTCTGGCATTCAGACAAATTTAGAAGTGGACATCTACGGCACATTGGCAGAGAGATGGAGTGGAGAGAGAAGTAAAGGGAGAGAACGCGAGAGAGAAGGAAGGGGAGGGGGCAAATGAGACGAGCCCCCGTGCTGTAAATCACTCTGATAGCCTGGAGCGTGTTAACGTCACTGTGCTAGAAATTTGCTTAGGACAGGTGAACACATGGAAAAAATGCATGGTGGTAGAGCAGGTTGTTTTGCATTGCTTTGTAGGGATGTGTCATACAGCGGTTGAGTGTTTCATCTACACCTATGGTTCTCTCCTGTCTGATCGATTCAGATATCGAAGCCTCTTACAAATGTTGATAAAAATGATTGAGATGTTCTTTCTCTCAGCTCTGGTTCTTTCTAGATTTCTAGTAGATTTGAAGGATGATTGGTTAGCCTCCGAAGCTGTCCTGTCTGAAAGTAGTCAACCTTACGTGACTTTAAATGTTTCACTGTAATAGTTCCTAAGTATAGGGGAGTGTAATTCAGCCAAGATGTAAGTTAGACATGCTATTCATGGAACAGTATGCTATGTGTGGGAATACTGTCAGTTACTGTACTCTGAGGTGCTTGATTGGGAAGTAAGGTTTTCCCCTTACCTACACGGTTTATCCCAAATTACCACTCACTTAAAAGGGTTTGTAACCATGCAGAAACTTTTGTTTATTAGCCCCGATTTTGGGATATTTATCTCTGTGATTTGTGACTCCACTCTAATACAATGGAAGTGAATGGAATTTGATTTGTGGTGCTCACAGCGTTGCCTCATTAAAAAAATTCAACAGCAACATCTCTTTCCAGAAATAGCATTATTGTTAGTCTGGATAATACTGTCAACAGTTTTCATAGGGGACTACTTCTTCTGAAGAAAATAGTTCCTAAGAAAATAGTTTACACTGTTCTGTTGAGTAACAAGGACATTGTTACAAGTCACTGTTGAATTTTTAAAATGCCATTCTTCAATGCTGTGAGCGCCACAATTGAAACTCCATGAAGACAGAAAACGTAGAGACAAATTAGTCTCAAAGTGCTTTACAAAAAACTGTCTGCATAACTAGATATTACCAGAGGTAAGTGAGAAAATTAGTTTTCCTGTCATTTGAGTGAACCAGTTCTTAAATCCCAGGAGAGTCGTGTGTGAACAGACATGGAGATTATAAAGCTGTATAAACAGTTTGTGTACGGCTGTGTGCTGTGGCAACTAATAACAGGAACAATGGTCTCTGAATTAAAACAACAAGAATAGAATTATTGTCATGTGAGTGCCTGGTGTTTATAGACTTGGTCAAAGAGAGAGCGGTCAGGCTCACATAACACAGAGGATATAAATGCATATCTTTCCTCTGTAGAATACAGGCTTAATTAGACTGCAGTCACAATTACAGCATATTCACCTCTGAGGATTTTCCCTCTCTTTCAGTGACACAGAGGAATCCGTTTATTACAGGTTAGGACAAAGATCCCTGATGGCATCACTTGCCGCTTTTATGAGGTTGATGAGATGTTTGAGGGCATTTGACAGAACAGCTACTAATGTGATGCAGCGTAGAGTGATTTCCTATTTGCGTGTCAATGGCAGTAATTGATGAAGACCAGAGCTGTGGAAAAATCACCCTCAATCCAAGAAAATGATTGTGCTGTTTCTCCCATAACTTGTTCTGGCAGTTTTAAAACCCCAGAGTGTGTCCTATATTTGTAATATGTTGAGCAGATTACAACGACGACTGTCAGTGAGCAAAAGACTCAGGTCTTTCAGGTAAAGCACCTCCTCCCAAAGGACAACAGTCTGTCAATCAGTACAGGATAACCCTCCCTTGTCTTGACAATGGTGCACCCCCCCGTCTGCATGCCATACTGCTGTCTGGTTTCATTGAAGGCAGAGCGTCTTTGGTCTTGGCAGGGTTTTATGTTAAAAGCCTTTAAAGTTAGCAACTGTGCTAATAATGCATGAACATTAAACTCTTTTTCAACAATTTTCTAATAGTACTTTTATTTATTTATTTATTTTTTTTTTTGCCAATTTTGCATTTTAATGTGAAAAAGAAATGGCTGCTTTTTGATACTTTTTAATAATTTAGTTAATTGCTTCTTTCAGTTTAGTTCCCTGTGGCTTTACTTCCCAAAAGATGAGATACTGTAACCCTCATGTATACATGTTGCTGAGCCTTGAATTGCATGCAGCGCAAGATGCTCATACATGCTCTTGGTGTTACTTATGTTGGTTTTGTTTGTCCTTCCTGTCACCCTTCATCCTGTATTATCTCAGTACATAATCATGCCATTATCTTAACTACTATGTAGTATTACATGTAGAATATTTTACTGATTATCCCCTAAAGTCTTGACTTGAATCACTTCAATCGTCATCATTGAAGTTAGAGCAATACTGCAACCTCACACTCATTAATATCAAGTTTTCTCTTCGCCATGACACGATCAGATTATTTAATCCACAGAATTGCATTATAGCTGCAAAATACCTAGATCATTTATTTTGTTAAACTGTCCTGCTTGTCTTTGATGACACCCCTGTTGTAAGTGAATGTAGTTTTGCTAGGCCCTTTTGTCAGTTGGATAGTTGACTGTATTTCCCTCTGTCCTCCTCCAGACTGGCTTGCCGACCAGGAAGGTCAGGAAGAAGGTCAAGGTGGATACTTCCAAGTTCATGACTCCATACCTGGCCCACAGCCAGAAGATGCTGGAGCAGTTCAGCCATGTAAGCAACAAGTTTGGGTTCAAAATAAATACTCTCTAATTTGTCTGCTTCGTTTTAAAGAATTCTATTTTCAGTGATTTTCATTGCAGCGTATATGATGAGTATTGTACTTCTTGACAGAACAAGTACCGGCAAGCATATGACATTTCCAGGGGAAATCCTCCTGCCATCGTCACTGATACCCCTGAAATGATTCGTATCCGGAAGGCCCAGGAGCAGCTTAGCGAGGT